ATTCCATCTCCACTCTCACATTTGAAATTTAAATCAAGTATTTTACAAAATATATTTATATTTTGAAACAATCTCAAACTTACAGATAAGCTGCAAAACAACATTTTCCTGGACATTTGTGAGTAAATTGCCTATAGTCATGCCCTATCACCAACAACTACTTTATTTTGCATTTCTTACAAGCAAATACGGTCTCCTGAATAACTGAAATACAACCACCAAAATGAAGAAATTAACACTGATACATTTGCTTGCATCTAATCCCCAGATAACATTCGAATTTCCCTAGTCATCCCCAAAGTGTCCTTTATTGCAGAAAGCTCTAGTTCAAAACCATGTGTTTCATTTAATTGCCATTTTTCTCTTTTTTAACACCTTTACTGAGATATAATTTACATACTGTATACTTTTTCCAATAAAAGTATACAATTCAATGATTTTTAGTATATTCAAAATGTGTGCGACCATCACCACAGCCAATTTTAGGATATTTTCATCGCCTTAAACTCCATGCTCTTTGGCTGTCATCTCCCATTCTCTTCCCTGCCCCGGCCCCTAAGCAGCCACTAATTTACTTACTTTCTGTCTCTACACATTTGCCTATTCTAGACATTTCATATATATGGAATCATATAACATATGGTCTTGGATAACTGGCTTCTTTCACTTAACATAATGTTTTCAAGTTTCATCCATTTTGTAGCATGTACCAATGTTTTATTCTGTTTTATGGCCAAATAATATCCCATTTTATGGATATTCTACAGTTTGCTTATCCATTCATCAGCCGATGAATAGTTGAGTTGCTTTCACCTTTGGACTGTTATGAACAAGGCTGCTATATATACTCGTGCACAAGTTTTTGTGTTTACATGTTTCCAGTTCAATTGGATACATAACTAAAAGTGAAACTGCTGGTTCATACGGTAACTCTGTTTAGTTGTTCAGGGAACTAACAGACTGTTTTCCAGAGCAGAGCACCATTTCACATCCCTCCCAGCAGTGCGTGAGGGTTTGGGTTTCCTCACAGCCTCATCAACATTTGTTATTACCTGACTTTTTTTAGTCTAGTCATTCTAGTGGGTGTGGATTGTTATCTAATTGGGGATTTAATTTGCATTTCCCTGATGACGAGTGAGGTCAAGTATCTTGGCATGAGTTTATTATATCTTCATTGGAGAATGTCTATTCAGAGCCTTTGCCCATTTTTTTAACTGGGCTATTTGTCTTTTTATTATTGACTTGTGAGAGTGCTTTGCATATTTTGGATACAAGTCCCTTATCAGATTTATTATTTGCAAATATTTTTGCCTATTCTATGATTGTCTTTCACTTCTTGGTGTCCTTTGAAGAACAAAAGTTTTTAATTTTAATGAAATGCAAATTATCTACAGTATTTTCTCTTTTTTGCTTGTGCTTTTGGTGTCAGATCTAAGGATCTTTTGCCAAATCCAAGCTCATGATAATTTACTCCTATATTTTCTACCAAGAGTTGTGAAGTTTTGCCCGGCCAGCATGCCTCAGTGGTTGAGCATCAACCCACGAACCAGGAGGCCATGGTTCAATTCTGGCTCAAGGCACATGCCCGGGGTACAGGCTTGATGCCCAATAGGGGTGTGTAGGAGGCAGTAGATCAATGACTCTCTCTCATCATTGATGTTTCTATCTCTCTTTCCCTATCCCTTCCTCTCCCTGAAATCAATGAAAACATTAAATTTTTTTAAAAAAAATTTTAAAAAATGAGTTGTGAAGTTTTAGTTTTACATATAGGTCTTTGGTCCCTTTTAAGTTAATTTTCAGGTCAAGGGGTTTTTTTTTGTTTTTTGGTGTGTTGTTTTTTTTTTGCCTATGGATGTCTAATTGCTGCAGCGCCATTTCTGAGAAGGCTATCCTTCCTCTTTGAATGGCTTATGTGCCATTGTCAAAAATCAGTTGGGCCTATTTGTATGGATCTATTTCTCATCCTCTGTTCTGTTCATTGATTTATGTATCTCTCCTCCACCAGTACCACACAATCTTGATTACTGTAGCTATATAGTAAGTCTTAGCAAGTAGAATGATTCCTCCCACTTTTTAAAGAATTGTTTTAGCTATTGTATGTCTTTTGCCTTCCCTTAGAAATTTAGAGTAAGTTTATCTATATTTATAAATAAGTTGATAAGAATTTAAATTAATCTTATAGATCAATTTGGAGAAAATGTATATAATTACCAGGTCAAGTCTTTCAATCCATGAACACAATATGTCTCTCCATTTATTTAGGTTTTCTTTAATTCCTTTCACCAATATTTTGTAGTTCTTGGCATAGAAATCCTATACATGTTTTTTGTTTGTTTGTTTTAATATATATTTATTGATTTCAGAGAGAGGAAGGGAGAGGGAGAGAGAGTTGAAACATCAATGATGAGAGAGTCATCATTGATGGGCTGCCTCCTGCACGCCCCGGACCAGGGATTGAGCCCGCAACCCAGGAATATGCCCCGACTGGGAATTGAACTGCCATCTTCTGGAGCCGAGGTTGATGCTCCACCGCTGAGCCACGCCCAGCCGGGCCCTATACATGTTTTGTTCATATTTATCAATAGTTAGAGTTAAGGATCCAACTTCATCCTTTTGCATGTGGCTGTCTAGTTGCTCCAGCACCACTTGCTGAAAAGACTATTCTTTCCTACATTGAAAGGTCTTGGCTCCCTTGTCGAAACCAGTTGATCATAGGCACATGAATTCATCTCTGGACTCTCAATTGTATTCCATTAATCTGCATGTCTATCCTTTTGCCAGTTCCATACTTTCTTGATTACTGTTGCTTTGTAGTTAAGTTTTGAACTCAACAAATGTGAGTCCTCCAACTTTGTTCTTTTTCAAGAATGTTTTGGTTCTTCTGGGTCCTTTGAAATTCCGTATGAGTTTTAGAATCAGCTTATAAATTTCTGCAAGGAAGTCAGCTAGGATTCTGATAGGGATTGTGCTGAATCTGTAGATCAGATTGTGAAGTAGTGCCATCTTAACATTAAACCTTCCAATCCATAAACATGAGATGTTTTCTCAATTATTTATATCTTCTGAAGTTTCTTTCAACAATTTTTAATAGTCTTCAGAGTATAAATATTGCACTTCTTTTGTTAAATTTATTCCTAAGTATTTTATTCTTATGGATGCTATTATAAATGAAACTGTTTTCTTAATTTCATTTCGGCTTGTCAATTGCATGTGTATAGAAATAAAATTGTTTTTTTGCTCTAGCCAGTTTTGCTCAGTGGTTAGAGCACCAGCCCGCAGACAAGGGTCCTGGGTTTGATTCTGGCCAAGGGCATGTACCTCGGTTGAAGGCTTGATCCCAGGCCCCAGGGATTGTATAGGAGGCAGCCAATCGATGTGTCTTACACTGATGCTTCTCTCTCTCTTTCTCTCTTCCATTCTCTCGGAAAAGCAATGGAAAAAAATATCCTCAGGTGAGGATTAAAAAAAAGAAGAAAAGAAATACAATTGATTTTTGTATATTGGTCTTATATTCTTCAACTGTGCTGAACTTGTATGTTGGTAGATTTCTCAGGATTTTCATATACTACAAGATCATATCACCTGCAAAGATAGTTTTATTTCTTCCTTTCCAATCTGGATCATCTTTATTCTTTTCTTGACTAATTGCACTGGTTAGAACCTCCAGTACAAAGTTGAACAGAAATGGTGAGAGTGGATATCCTTGTCTTGTTCCTGGTCCTAGGGAGAAAGCATCCAGAAAGCATTTCACCATTTAGTATGATGTTAGCTATGGGGTTTTTGTAGATGTCCTTTATCAAGCTGAAAAAATTCTCTTCTACTTTCTTGAGTATTTTATCATGAAAGAACATTAGATTTTGTCCAATTTTATTATGCACCTACTGAGATGATCGTGTGGTTTTATTTTTCAGTCTATCCACACAGTATATTACATGAATAATTAATTAACTTGGGGAATGTT